TCTATTTTATTTCTTTTATAATAACAAGAAGATTGGGAAGTTGTGGTGAATTAAATGTTATAAAATTTATCACCAACTGATTTATGGAACTAGAGACTGATAAAAGCATTTGTTGGTTTGTTCTATAATTTTAATGACTAAAAATACTACTCAATTCATCAACTGGATATAATGTAATACCTTAAAAAATCCTTGGAGATCAATTTGTTTTGAAAACCATTTCTTTTGGCTTACAACATGTTTGATGTTGTCTTTACTTAAACAAAGGAAGACCTTGGTATCTTTCAGTAATTGCGTACTTTATCTCCTGTTGTTATTCTAAATTGGTATGTCTAATTTTAACATTGAATATCAATATAATTTGATGACAAAAAATTCTGATCATACATTCTTACAATCTGATGGTAATATAATTCTGTCTGGTAACATAACACATACATAGAGGTCTTCAAATTGGATAAGCTAAAAAAGAAATGATATAAATTGTCAAGAAATATTGCTAAAAATTTTCAGTTAATTTATATTTTCATGGGCTTTTAAATTGTACTTCTAATGCACTATAGAGTAAAATCATTTCGACGACTTTTAGTCTAGTTTCAAGTAACATGAATACACACTTTCATTTCTGGATAATTCAACAGGAGCGGAAAACACAATTATCTTAAGATTAAATTTATGATTGCTTTAGAACATAAAGAATTCTAAAACAATGGTGAAAGTGAAGTCCAGTTAACTGGAGAAAACTTAATTTTAAATCTCTGGAATTCTTAGTCAAAACTAAATATTGATACTACATACACAATATATTTATTTGGTTTAGCACGTAATGAAAAAGTTAGTCTATAAATTACATTCAAAATCATCAGTTCTTAAAATTGTTTTAAAAGGGGTACAATGACATATATCTAGAATTTGCCTATGGCTAATTGGGCTAATGATTTTAGCTTCTATTATTGCAAATTTTCATTATATGATGATGTCATTATCACTTATATTTCTTGGTAGTTCATTTATTATTAAAATACAAATGCTTTCATTAAATATGTATTCTAGAAAATTATGATAGAAAAAATTACCATCAAAGATTGTAGAATATGTTTAGCTCATATTAAATGTAGCACTGTGAATTTACTGGTAGCACAGTGGAA